ATGAAAGAAGGTCGCTGATTGGTTGAATAAGATATAAACAATAGACTAAGCAAATAATGGTTCATAATGTAGATGCCATGGATGGTTTCCAGGAATAGATAAAAGTTCGTTGCGGGACAAAAATAAGGGAAGCCACGTCATTGGGGGGGCTGTTCAGCCTGCAAGCAACTTCGTTGAATCCGAGCTTGCTCATTCGTGTGTTCGTTGAAACCAAGTTATTTTTATTGATTTTAATGAAGGAAAAAAATGGAGATTCTGTCTCCATTCATTGAATCCGAGTTCCACTGTAACATGGATGCATTTGCTTGTTCCTTTTTGGGTTGTTTTTTTTTTTTTTTTTTAAATAAAAGTTCAGTGATAACGAGCAACATTCATGTTGAAATAATGAGATTGAAACAGCTGATAGGGGACCCTGCAATCAGGGGTTATAAAAAGCATCATGTTTAATTCTGCAAGCCTTTGGATTTAAGATTGGAATGTTGTTGTGAATACGTGGCACATATTGTACTTATTGGTTGTTTAGGTGCTGTTGTAATGGCTTGCAATAGTGGTTGGCGGGTGCTCTGGTGTGGTTTGCTTCTTCTCTCCTATTCAACATCTATCATCCTTACCTTTCTCTTCCTTCTTTTTGTGTTTGTTAGTACTCTCTTGTAACACCGCTAATCTTCGGCACTCATATGACCTTATTGTGTTGCAACTGCAGTAAAACACTTACTAAAACTAAAACTGCACACTTTTCATCCCTTTCAGAACCGCTACGTTTGTGCTGTGACAAATGATGTGCTTGGTAACTCTGTTCCTTGTGCTGTGCTGAGACCCTCGTAAGTATCCTGGGTAAAACATAACGCTGTAAATTTGCATAAATGCAAGGTGGGTGAAGATTAGATTCCATGTTTCTCCATTTTGAAAGGAAAATGTCTACAGACATTCGTTGAGTTTAGTATATATGTTGCTGTCCCAGTGCAAATTTGAAGTTACCAAAGCTTGTGGCGAAACCTGTACTTTAGAATTAGTTTTCTGAGAAGTGAGTTACTACTAGAAGAATGTCTGTGTCTCAGTCACTAATTTTTATTGTGGAACTGTAGACCCCCATTCTACTTGGCATAGTGCTCTAATTGTAATTTTTTTTTACACTTGACTTCTTATCTGTGCAGTGCACACATTTTACTAATACCAGTTACTGTAGTTACTGGGAATATAGAACAGGAAGCAAAGTGGTTTTTAAGCATGAAATGGAAAAACCTTCAATATCTTGCAAACATGTGGTTTTACAGCTGTGTTGAAATCTAATACTGATATTTCATTTATCTTTGTACAACGCATGTTTTTTTTAAGCCTTAGTCTGCTGAAGAGACAGTGCACTTAAAGAAAATATTCTAGGGATTGGACAAATGTAGACTTCACCATGTTTCAAATATCAAAATTCTCAGCGTCAGTATAGTTTTTAATCATCATCGCTCTAATAGCCAGTCTGGGTTGACATGGAACTTTAGACTGACTTCTGCAGTTGTTACTTGAGCTTTACAGTGAAAATAAAATTAATCTTGTAGCAGTTCTTCATTTTGGCAAGGGTCTCAGTTTAGAATTCTTTTGCTTAGTTTTCATTATTCTTTCTAAATATTGTAGCAAATGTTCTCACTATTGTTTGGTTTTGCCAAAAAGTACTTTTTAGTTCGTTATTGTTGTATCGTAGATTAAGTTTCCTTCTGATCTGATCTGACAGAGGTGCCGTGGTCACAGTGGAATGTGTGGACAAGATCATCAGGAAAGAGATGCTTGGCCCCATTTGAGGAAACAAACTTGCAGAGAAAGACATTATTCCTCTTCAGAGGGTAAGTTTAATATAGACTGGACATATTTTTATAGAAACAGGGGGTGGGAGCAAGATACAGCATTTGGTTTCCCTGCACAGATAGGCTGGATAGCACAAAGTAAATGCTATTTCTTAACAATTTTGCATTCGTTCATTAGATTTTAGGATTAGTTCGCTGTTGGTCCTTTAACCCTTTTGGCCAGTAAAAAGATATATTGCATCGGCCATACAGGCCACTTGTTTCTCCCGTGGGATTTCTTCAATGGCCATAATTGAAATAGATCTCCTACTTCAAGCTGTTGCCCTGGTTTCATAGCTTGTGAAGTTACTGTGTAAGAGCCAGTGTCAGCAGTCAGAACTTTCTTTCATTGCCAGAAAACTGAAAGAATACGAACTCCTGGACATGAAGTGCACAGGAAGCTTCCCTAATTGACAGCCATTGTTGACGATGAATGTAAACTGGAAAGGGTTAATTTACAACAGGCCTGCCACTCATCCCGATTTAATAGGGATATCCCGGTTTTTTGCCCCAAATCTCAAGCATCCCGATTGTCCCGATTTCAGTCGCCAGTGTCCTGATTTTTTTGTCATTGCGTCTGTTGCGCCCGATTCTTAGAAAAAAATATTTAAAGTTCTGCAATTTCTTTTGCTTGGAAGCACCAATTAGACTTTTTATCGACAGGAACTTGGAACGCTATTTTCTAATGCATCTATACCGAATCTAGTAGTTGACTCACTCACGTTTTTTCAACTGATATTGACGTAGTATCGATTTTGAATTCCCATTTAAATACGCTCAAGATCTACTTTCGCTTTTAGAACCCAGAATTCTCCGATGGTGTCCTGATTACTGTAACAATTTTGACATGGGCCTAAGAATAATATATTTGTTGTTCTGTCATTGCTTTAGAAGCAAGCTTCGTCTTAAGTTCCGGTTAGTCGGGCCCGTCATCAAGACCTGTCAGTGGAACTTTCAAACGCTCATTCGCATCACATGACATGACCTCGTACGTGTGAGTAGCGCGTGTGTCAGGGTCAACATAGTTCATTCACACCGGTCGCATTGGTCGAAGTTTTTTCGGGACTTAACCAGTGTGGATGACTGGGGGAGGGGGGTATTTTTTTACACTTGGGGCTTAAAGTGCGTGCCATGATACTGGTACTAATTGAGGGGAAAGGAATAAGAAAGAAAAAAAAATGAACAACCTTGGTGCTATCTTTTTTCCGGGGCGGGGGGGGGGGTGTGCCTTGGGTGCATATGCGATGGAACTCTAACATTGTTACTGTATGAAAACGCGGACTTTTTTCCTGGATGATTAGAGTTGTGTGTCAGTTATTTTCAAGACTACAAGAGTTTCAGCTTTAGTGCAACCTGTGCTCCCCCAGTCTATTCAACTCCGATTCAAGTACATGTATGCTGTCTTTCGGTTTCCAAAAAGTTTTGTCTTGCATACTTGCCTCATAAAAGGGAACCAGGACCACCCCCACCCCCTCTTCCCAGTGCCCCTTATGACTGATTTGCAGTTGATCCCAATTTTTTTCACTAGATCCTGATTTTTAGATTTCATTGAGTGGCAGGTTTGTTACAATGTAACTGATATTACATGCTTCTAGCCTGTTTTCAAGCTGGTCGTGAGTCTTTTTGGCAACATTATGCTGTTTTAGGAAATATTCTTTAATTATCATGGAGGGGGGGGGGGGGGGGGGGGGTTCTCTATCTATGTCCCCAGTGTCAATTCTGTGAATGTTGAAATAGAGTAAAATGAGCATAATTTATAAAACATCAAATCTGGTTAGGGTATGTAACTGTTTGCTCGTAAGTATGGACACTAATTTTCTTGTGAACGCTATGCAGCAATATACCAAACTTAAAGTGGATTTGGTAAAAATGAACTGAAGAATTCTGAGGATGGGAAATCGGGTCAGTAATGAAATCTCTTCGAGCATCTAATTTTGGTGAATTTTTTTAGTTCAAGCATTTCTACATGTTATAGTATGATTAGTTTCATTAAAGAACATTCACTTTTTGGTATGAAGTGCCCTTGAAATATGTAATGAATAGTGAATTTGACCTTTCTCTTTGTCTTTATTTTCGGGTAGTATTTTCTCATTTTGTTTGTTGTTGTTTTTACACCGAAATTTGTGTTGCTTCATTATTTATGACCCAAATTGGCTGACATTTTGTACAATCTATTGTATGATAGTGTGCACAACTTATAAAGTACCTATAAAGAAAAAAATTCAACTAGTATACCTCTTAAATTGTCACTAACACAGGTACACTAAAATTTTGAAGCTGCTGTAAAATCTTTGATATGTCTATAACTCACTGAGCACCACACCCCGATTTGCCTCCAAGCCCTAGAGGACCACCAATTTCCCCCACTTTTTGAAAATTCATTAAAAAATTGAAATGAAATGCTATTTCTTAACAATTTTCTGTGCTATTTAATAAGATATGGGTTCAACAGACACAATAAACACATTGTGTGAAGAATGAACGAAAAAAACATGTATGGGACAGGAAGTTGGGACAAATTTGCCCCAGAAAAAACTTTTTGAAAAAAAAGGAAATGATGTGGCAAAGCCGAAATCTAATAAACTTACACAAAATGTTTGTGGCAGTGTGTGTTTGTGTGTAGGAGAATGAAGCATGAGTGTGTACAGTGAAGTAGCATAAAATGTAAGTGATAATTAATTTTGAAAAAGGAAAAAAAAAAAATCTAGATCTAGATCTTCCACTGTGACTGGCTGAGAAGTGTTTTTATTGTCAGTGTTGCTAGTGCTAGGACTAGATCTAGATCTGTCGATAGATGTCCTTGGTCTGGGTACTTTATACATCTTCTCCACTTTGAGGGCTGATTTGAACTAGAGTTTAGTACTGGGGCTAGATCTATCATCATCCCCAGCCGGACCAGGCTGCGTACTCGCTGATGAGTCAGATTCATGATCGAGAGACGATGTTGGTCTAGACCTAGATCTGGCTAATGTCATTTTCTCAGTCATCTTCATCACTGCTAGGCGAATTCACATCTTGATTTATGAAGTTATCTATCTGATACTTCACTGTCACTTAAATCTTCACCAAAATTATCGAGAGTTTCAATAAACTTCGACACAACTAGCGGTGCCGTGCTTCGCGTACGAGAAACAACAATGAACTGCGCGGAAGTTCCTTACTATCAGTTCAGTCCGTTGGACAAATAACTCGTTTATTTGCACTAAAAGTGGTGAATATACACAAACTACAAAAACTAGCTTGTCGATATCCTATTATACCACTGGGGCTATTTGCAAGCATTTTTAAACTGCTGGGTTTACTTTATAGTCAATTATAGTTGAACCCGCGAATTTTACGGAACCGCGTATGCTGCGGGAGTGGTGCTCAGTGAGTTAATTGAAAATCTTCATTATGAAAATGTTTATCTTTGTTTTATATTCTCGCTAAATTTGAAGAAGGCTGGTTGACAGATAGTTGAACATGAAACTTTTCGTTTTCTGAATTTTTGTCATTTCGTTTGGGAACGGGCCTTGCAGAAATGATCTTCATTATTATTATTACTTTTATTAAACATTTGGACGTAAATACAATTGCAGCAGAGGATTTCAAACTTTCATTTTCTAATGAAGCTGCATCTTGTAATATATTACCATAGTAATGTTTTGGCTGTTTTTGTATCCTAAACATCATGTACTGCTGGAACAACGACACATTCAGATGAAATGTGAAAAGATTCACTTGTTTGAATCCCCCCCCCTCCCCCATCTTTTCCTATTAACATTCTAATGTGAATATATTGTGAATGTGTATTCAGAAAGAACTTCAGGAACTGGCCAAAGCTGAACAGGAAGCGAAAGCCTCAAAGTTCAAGCAACAGGAGTCCAACCCAATAGGAGAGAAATACTGTGAGTAGATGTTGTAGTTCTTATTCTGCGTTTCTTTGCTAGTTAACTTTGGGTTTTTCAATAACATGAGAGCAAAGTCCATAAGCCAATTGAAGAGACCTGTACTAAACATTTCTGACATTATTGTTGGGGGTCTGCTTGGAATAGTTTGAATTTATGCCTGCAGAAAAAAATGTGAATGGTTTGGAGGTGGGTTTCTTGTCCAGTGACCACCATCTTGACCCGCTGCGTACATGGAGTCTACTTTTTGGTTTTGAAAAGTTGGCAGCTGTGGATTTGTTTGCTCCCAAAGTTGTTCATTTTTCATGGTGTCAGGCCAATTAATTTTATTTTCTAATTTAGTTACCCCTCCCCCCCTGAAAAAAGAGCAAAGTTAGAAATGCAGCCGTGATTTTAAGGCCTTAAATTAACGTCTGTAATAAACAGGAATATGTAATATTGAATTTTTCTTTCACAGTGGCCAACCAGGCTGCGGAACAGAAAGGCAAAATGTCAAGCTTATCCAACGTTGAGGAAGGCAGAGATAAAAAACTGCCTAGTTTCTGGATCCCAACCCTCACCCCACAGGCGGAGGCCACGAAAATTGAAAAACCGGTTAGTAAACAGTTTTTTTGTGGGTTTTTTTTAAGCTTTTTCGAATGTTTACTTGTAAAAATTTAACTGCCTATTCGTTGGTATAGGGCAAAATGCAGTGCCTGCAAGTGCAACAACAAGAAAAATTTCTTTGGGTGGGAGGAATGTGATTGGTTGCACATCATGCTCTTCCTCCAACCCCCACCCCTTCAAATCAGCAAAGTTTAAATCTCGAGATCATTCAAAGTCAGACTGCTTTGAACGGTCCTGAGTGGGAGACAGCATCCCAACAGAAAGGAAAACGTACTGGATAAAATACACACACACACACACACACACACCCAACGCAAAAAGAGTCTTCACGTCTTATGCGTGCTACAGCAAAGAGCCTGACCACTACAGTACAGGTGCTGCTTTACACTCAATTCAGATGCGCCCAACTGTGGCTCAAAATGCCCTGTGTGGCACTGTTTTGTGACCGAATTCTTTTTGGATAGTGCTGTAAAATACCTACTCAATCAATGAATCAAAGCTGTATTGGGACAGTATATGCAGTTACCGTTGCTGAAAACTATGAAGGAAAATTTAAGAGACCTGTACTTTTTTGTAAATGGTATTTTGTCTTGTAACGCTTGTAACTAATTGACTGGTTGGTTTCAGGTTAAGACTGATTTGAGAAAAATAATAGCTACTAACATAACCCTGTTTTTGAGGGTTAATACGTTTTCTCTGCCAAAATTTCACTTGTCAGGATTCTTATGAAACATGTGTTCAGAATTACTCTTTTTTAAGTAGTTTTGTTTTATCCTTCTTAACATAAATAACATACATGACCTTACCATGGCACATCTATACATTTCGCTTACTTTTCATCTTGTCAAAAATCTTGCGAAAGTTTTAGTACAATTTGCGCATGTCACTGAATGTTCCTTGCAGTAGAAATGTATTAAAAATGTCTTTTGTGCAACAGTAATTACAAACGCATGATATGAAACTATCATAAAACAGAATGAAACTCTGAAGGGAAAGAATGCACCATCGTTGAGTTTGAGGCAAGCAGTAATTGCTGCATAAATGTACATGACCAGTCATGAGACATCAGGGTGTCAGGAATCTGTGTCCACATACACAGCAGAGTTTGAGTTTAAATGTGTTAAATGTGATGTAGGATAAGGAATGCTTGTCACTGAGGTAAGGCAGCAACGTTAAATTTGAACAGTTTGGAGAATAGAGCAAGCCCGTGACCCACTTAACCCTCGTCCTGCGGGGGCCAGGTTTATGTCGCCCGCTAAGCCTATTTCAGCACCTCGCCTACGTTCTGGTCCCGAATCAGTGTAGCCCCTGGCTCAGCGCATCATATTACGTAAAATTCGGGTCCCAAGTCGGATCCCCATTCAGGCAGGTCAAGTGTGTATGCGTCAGTCTGCTTGAGTTTGTGTTCGTTTGTGGCCTTCTTCTAGAACCGCCTACGTTGGTTCATAATCTAGGCATACGTCTCATTCAAAACACGCCAAGTTGGTAGCACTAGATGTTCGTCCAGTGAAATTATAGAAGAAATTGACCCACTTAGACATGAGGAGCTCGAAAGGATAGTCAGGAAACAAGACATCCATTGTTCTATACAAAATCTTTCAAATGAGCTTGATTTTGTTTGAAATTATATTACCTGATAAAAAATAAGCTTGTTTGATAGTTTTGAATACCATTGTGCAGGTACAAAGAACAATTTGAGTGCAAAACATTCGGAAATTGACCTATATTATCCCCTTTCGAACCTCAGGTCATTCATAACAACAAGAGCGTCCAGAAAGGTTATTCGAATGGGCGTAACTACTCGTAATGTCTTATCAGCTTGTGAGAGGGGGTTATTCACGTGTTTGTAACACTTTATAAATAGAAAGCTATGAAAGATTGAGCGTTATTTTCATCATCGATTAACACACTCCCACGGTTTTCATGGCGAAAACACATGTTTCCCAGTGCGTGCGTTGTACACCAACAGTACACGCTGGGTGACCCCGGCACGTCTGACGTAATCGGTTGCTGATAAAATTTGCATCTCAGCACAGACGCAGGACAAGAGTTAAGGGGCTGTACTTGAGTTGGTTCTGTGAACCCATATCTGTATTGCTTTCTTATTTTCGCATTAACATATTTTTTTTGTGCACATGCACCCTCCAATGTAGTACATATGTCCCATCCAATGCTGGCTAGTGACAGGTGGTGAGCCCTTCTAGGTGGCCTATATCCAATATCAGGGTGGAAGAGACGGGTGATGATGATGAAGAAGAAAGCTGGAAAGTCATTTCATCCACGTTCTTTTTTATTGTTTCACCTATTGGTGCTCATCTTGTCTTGTTTCTTCGTTATATTTAAAGATAGATGTTCTTTTGAATGAGAATTTTTACTGAAAGACATGTATTCCTGCTGTCTTGGGTTTTTTTTTATACCTTTAGAGAAGAAGATATGCTTTTTATTTTTACTGTGATATCATGTTTCTGCAGGATGAAAAGGTTCGATGTCCTATGAGTGGGAAAGTTCTCAAGTTCAAGGATTTAATTCCTGTCAAGTTCACGCCCATTAATGATCGGGATGCAAAGACATCTGTCATCTCAAAGACGGTATGTTTATGTTTACGAAATGTCATATGTATGTGTGCTTGGTGGGGTGTAATCTGTTCCCATTAGACCTAGTTCTCTTGATAATTCTATTGCTGCTCTAATGTCTTCTAAGCAAAATGTGAATGTATGGTAATATTGCAGACTGAAAATGAATTGCTCGTTAACAGCTCTGCTGGGAAGGCACGCACTGAGCCATTTTAAAAGGGCCAGCTGAAAAAAAGTTCTATAACTTGAGTTGTTGAACAATCAACTGTTATGCTTTTCTGACTTTTATGCTATCTTTATGGGTGGCATTTTTCCTCCTACTTTTCAAACTGAGAATGTGATCTGATTCCATCTCTTGCACGGAAAGTTTGTCAGTTTTCGAGCTAGATACAGTGAAACTCTTGATTCAACGAAGTCGTCGGGCCTGACCTTCAGTTTTGTTTGGACCCGAGTGTTTGTTATAGCAAACATGAGGATTTTGTGTAAATAATTACAGGCACCAAGCAAGTAACGTATAATGTGTTTGACTTCCTCAATCAAATTCAAAAGTAGTTTGGTTTCAAATGAGAGGCATCTTCGTTGTTTTTTTATGTCGTGCGTACCGAAGAAATGCTGGAAAATTCTAGGAAAATACACTAAACTCTGCCAAGCGCACGCTGTGCAAAATGTCCAATTGGTTCAAATGCACGCCTGTGTCATCTATCAAGTGTGACGTATTGTTTGCCGAACAGGTTGTGTTTTTGTGTATAGCCTAGCATACGGCAACGTTTGATTCCACAGACCAGTGCACAATTCATTGCGTTAATCTATGTCAAGACTAGCTTCTCATTGTAATATTGGCCAGTAGCTGGAAAAGAACTGACTGAATACTGTGACGCGTTTGTATCTGATCTCTACTGACTACTGATGTTCCGCACCGGGAACGCTTGTGTGCGCCCGCCCCCCGACGGACACACGCCACGAGTCCACGTCACATGCATCTCTCTGACACGCTCTAAGACACATGTGCGTGCCAACAACGCATATGTTGCATAGCTGCCACTTTTCCGCTAAATAGCGGAAACTCCGCTTCATCTAGCTTTTCCTGCTACTTTCCACCTTCCTCCGCGGGACCGCTCTCGGTCGCAAATTGCGATACTTTTTTACACGCGGAAAACACCGAACCGGGAGACAGACGAAAACGCAGCTTGCGCATGTCCGCCCGTAACTTTCTACTTCCATTCTTCTAGGCCGAGCGTTAGTTTCACTTTGTTTATTGTGGAGCAACAAAGTGTCGATCTGGCATCGGGACGTTAGCGCGCCGAGTTGTCATTGAAAACGGCGGAAATTCGAGAGAAGTTGATGCAGAATGCAAAAATAATTATAAGGAGCTCCGCTTGCTGCACTTTGCGTTTGGTGCGATAAAGAAATCGCGGCCCGCGGCACTCCTGTACAATTGCGGTCCCGTTTGTTTACATGACGGCTATTGTGGCTGTTGAAGTGAATCTAGATCTAGATAATCTATCTCTAGATCTAGATATAATCTAGATTTACACATATTTAGATATCTAGATCTAGATTAGATAGCCTAGGCTGTAATTTTAATTCAGGTTAGATCTACACTCTACAGAGGGACTATACTAAGTTAAGTGCAAACGGGACCGCAATTGTACAGGAGTGCTCAGTACAGCGGCAAAGGTGTTGCCTCTTTGATCCAATACTGCGCGCGCTCTACATCGATGTACAAGTTTAAAGAGAAAGAAATCTTTTTATAAGACACCAGCTTGCAACAAACTCTGGATTTTTAGTCACCAAGTCCAAACTGTGTCAAATTGACTCAAATGCTTGTTAGTCTACTTAGTGCCTTTGTTGGGGGGTTTTTTTTTTTTTTTCAAATACATTTTAATTCAGTTGCCTATGGTTAACAAATATGACAGTTTTCCCTTCCAAAACCATAGGCTACATTTTCCAGTATATATTGCCTCTGGATCTCACTGGTTTTACTCCAGCCTTCGGAGAGCGCGCGTCCGCGTTCGCATGAATTTCCTCCTTTTTTGAAATTCCTGAGTGGCAGCTATGATGTTGGTATGAAAGAAGGTCGCTGATTGGTTGAATAAGATATAAACAATAGACTAAGCAAATAATGGTTCATAATGTAAATGCCATGGATGGTTTCCAGGAATAGATAAAAGTTCGTTGCGGGACAAAAATAAGGGAAGCCACGTCATTGGGGGGGCTGTTCAGCCTGCAAGCAACTTCGTTGAATCCGAGCTTGCTCATTCGTGTGTTCGTTGAAACCAAGTTATTTTTATTGATTTTAATGAAGGAAAAAAATGGAGATTCTGTCTCCATTCATTGAATCCGAGTTCCACTGTAACATGGATGCATTTGCTTGTTCCTTTTTGGGTTTTTTTTTTTTGGGTTTTTTTAATAAAAGTTCAGTGATAACGAGCAACATTCATGTTGAAATAATGAGATTGAAACAGCTGATAGGGGACCCTGCAATCAGGGGTTATAAAAAGCATCATGTTTAATTCTGCAAGCCTTTGGATTTAAGATTGGAATGTTGTTGTGAATACGTGGCACATATTGTACTTATTGGTTGTTTAGGTGCTGTTGTAATGGCTTGCAATAGTGGTTGGCGGGTGCTCTGGTGTGGTTTGCTTCTTCTTTCCTACCAAACATCTATTGTCTTTATCTCCCCTCCTTCTTTTTTGTGTTTGTTACTCTCTTGTAATACCTCTAATCTTCGGCACTTATATGACCTTTTTTTGTTGCAAGTGCCGTAAAACATTTACTAAAACTAAAACTGCAAACTTTTCATCCCTTTCAGAACCGCTACGTTTGTGCTGTGACAAATGATGTGCTTGGTAACTCTGTTCCTTGTGCTGTGCTGAGACCCTCGTAAGTATCCTGGGTAAAACATAACGCTGTAAATTTGCATAAATGCAAGGTGGGTGAAGATTAGATTCCATGTTTCTCCATTTTGAAAGGAAAATGTCTACAGACATTCGTTGAGTTTAGTATATATGTTGCTGTCCCAGTGCAAATTTGAAGTTACCAAAGCTTGTGGCGAAACCTGTACTTTAGAATTAGTTTTCTGAGAAGTGAGTTACTACTAGAAGAATGTCTGTGTCTCAGTCACTAATTTTTATCGTGGAACTGTAGACCCCCATTCTACTTGGCATAGTGCTCTAATTGTAATTTTTTTTTACACTTGACTTCTTATCTGTGCAGTGCACACATTTTACTAATACCAGTTACTGTAGTTACTGGGAATATAGAACAGGAAGCAAAGTGGTTTTTAAGCATGAAATGGAAAAACCTTCAATATCTTGCAAACATGTGGTTTTACAGCTGTGTTGAAATCTAATACTGATATTTCATTTATCTTTGTACAACGCATGTTTTTTTTAAGCCTTAGTCTGCTGAAGAGACAGTGCACTTAAAGAAAATATTCTAGGGATTGGACAAATGTAGACTTCACCGTGTTTCAAATATCAAAATTCTCAGCGTCAGTATAGTTTTTAATCATCATCGCTCTAATAGCCAGTCTGGGTTGACATGGAACTTTAGACTGACTTCTGCAGTTGTTACTTGAGCTTTACAGTGAAAATAAAATTAATCTTGTAGCAGTTCTTCATTTTGGCAAGGGTCTCAGTTTAGAATTCTTTTGCTTAGTTTTCATTATTCTTTCTAAATATTGTAGCAAATGTTCTCACTATTGTTTGGTTTTGCCAAAAAGTACTTTTTAGTTCGTTATTGTTGTATCGTAGATTAAGTTTCCTTCTGATCTGATCTGACAGAGGTGCCGTGGTCACAGTGGAATGTGTGGACAAGATCATCAGGAAAGAGATGCTTGACCCCATTTGTGGAAAAAAACTTGCAGAGAAAGACATTATTCCTCTTCAGAGGGTAAGTTTAATATAGACTGGACATATTTTTATAGAAACAGGGGGTGGGAGCAAGATACAGCATTTGGTTTCCCTGCACAGATAGGCTGGATAGCACAAAGTAAATGATACTTTTTAAAATTTTGCATTCGTTCATTAGATTTTAGGATTAGTTCGCTGTTGGTCCTTTAACCCTTTTGGCCAGTAAAAAGATATATTGCATCGGCCATACAGGCCACTTGTTTCTCCCGTGGGATTTCTTCAATGGCCATAATTGAAATAGATCTCCTACTTCAAGCTGTTGCCCTGGTTTCATAGCTTGTGAAGTTACTGTGTAAGAGCCAGTGTCAGCAGTCAGAACTTTCTTTCATTTCCAGTAAGCGCAAAGAATATGAACTCCTGGACATGAAGTGCACAGGAAGCTTCCCTAATTGACAGCCATTGTTGACGATGAATGTAAACTGGAAAGGGTTAATTTACAACAGGCCTGCCACTCATCCCGATTTAATAGGGATATCCCGGTTTTTTGCCCCAAATCTCAAGCATCCCGATTGTCCCGATTTCAGTCGCCAGTGTCCTGATTTTTTTGTCATTGCGTCTGTTGCGCCCGATTCTTAGAAAAAAATATTTAAAGTTCTGCAATTTCTTTTGCTTGGAAGCACCAATTAGACTTTTTATCGACAGGAACTTGGAACGCTATTTTCTAATGCATCTATACCGAATCTAGTAGTTGACTCACTCACGTTTTTTCAACTGAAATTGACGTAGTATCGATTTTGAATTCCCATTTAAATACGCTCAAGATCTACTTTCGCTTTTAGAACCCAGAATTCTCCTATGGTGTCCTGATTACTGTAACAATTTTGACATGGGCCTAAGAATAATATATTTGTTGTTCTGTCATTGCTTTAGAAGCAAGCTTCGTCTTAAGTTCCGGTTAGTCGGGCCCGTCATCAAGACCTGTCAGTGGAACTTTCAAACGCTCATTCGCATCACATGACATGACCTCGTACGTGTGAGTAGCGCGTGTGTCAGGGTCAACATAGTTCATTCACACCGGTCGCATTGGTCGAAGTTTTTTCGGGACTTAACCAGTGTGGATGACTGGGGGAGGGGGGTATTTTTTTACACTTGGGGCTTAAAGTGCGTGCCATGATACTGGTACTAATTGAGGGGAAAGGAATAAGAAAGAAAAAAAAATGAACAACCTTGGTGCTATCTTTTTTCCGGGGCGGGGGGGGGGGGGGTGTGCCTTGGGTGCATATGCGATGGAACTCTAACATTGTTACTGTATGAAAACGCGGACTTTTTTCCTGGATGATTAGAGTTGTGTGTCAGTTATTTTCAAGACTACAAGAGTTTCAGCTTTAGTGCAACCTGTGCTCCCCCAGTCTATTCAACTCCGATTCAAGTACATGTATGCTGTCTTTCGGTTTCCAAAAAGTTTTGTCTTGCATACTTGCCTCATAAAAGGGAACCAGGACCACCCCCACCCCCTCTTCCCAGTGCCCCTTATGACTGATTTGCAGTTGATCCCAATTTTTTTCACTAGATCCTGATTTTTAGATTTCATTGAGTGGCAGGTTTGTTACAATGTAACTGATATTACATGCTTCTAGCCTGTTTTCAAGCTGGTCGTGAGTCTTTTTGGCAACATTATGCTGTTTTAGGAAATATTCTTTAATTATCATGGAGGGGGGGGGGGGGGGGGTCGAGTAAAGATTAACTTGCTCGATACTGAAATTTTTGCTGGCATTTTAAATACCTCATGAACAAAATGTTTTAACGTTCCCACTTATCAATCAAAACAGATTTCATTTCATACTTACTCATGAAAAAAGTTTCTACTGCTTACAGGGGATAGCTACAGGTTTGAACCTTGATGCAGTAGCGGAAAAACAAATCACACGTCTTTATTATTTCACTAATATTGTTTTTTGCTGCTTTTGGGGGCTCAACGTTCCAAGAAAACACCATACAACTATCCGCACATTCCTGGCTATATACACAACAAAGTTATCTTTTTTGTTCATTCAAGAAAGAACCCACCCTGTTACGGACTGGTCACACTGGCATGAACAAGGAATTTTAAAATATTTTTTGGGGGGGTCCCAATGTCCTATTTTTATGAGTGCCAGATGTTAGTTACGCTTACGACTTAATATGTGTTAGGAATGAAAGCTGGATTAATTGGGGTACGTGTGCTTTGACCTGAGAGGCCACACTTTACTTCTAGGCTTGGGATAGACCGTACTTTTTGTATGTAGGCCAAATAATTGAGAGAATGCGGAACGTGGTCTGGATGAACATTCTTTTTAGTATGATGTGCCAAGCAAAATGAAAGATTTGTCACATAAGAGCCAAGTAAGAGTGTGATACCTCAATGGAAAAACTTTATATAATCCAGCAAGCACATTAATAAGCTCGCTTACAGTGAACAGATTCGGGGTACCCTATTTATTTTTCCTATACATTATTATTCTTTGGATTTAAAATAATTACATAGCAAAATTTGTACATAACCAAAAGATTTTAACGTCTCGACAATTTTGCTATGTGCATGCCTTGTCTCAATGAGGGTATACAGTAGGTCTTGTAATTTTGCTTTGAACATGCATTTTCTCCCTTCTGTAATGTCACATGTGGTAATGGTTTTCTTTTTTTTATTTTTACTTCTAGGGTGCATCTGGCTTCACTAGTGCTGGGGTTACTTTGGAAGCAAAGAAGGCAGGACCGACTATCATGGCTTGAATTCATCTGTTGACAACAGAATACTTTAGAGCAGTGATTATTATCCTTGTTGGAAGCACTGAACCCCTTCGAGTGGGGTGAACGAAATGGACACATACACACAGTGTGTCTTGGCCTCTGCTGAGCCCGTAAGACTGACTCACCGAACCCTTGGGGTTGGATCAAACCCAGCTTAAGAACAACTGCTCTGGAGTCTTTTCTCTCATCTCTTCACTCTGCTAGAAGTGGAGCAGCCAACTGTGAAACAGCCTTATCTGTGGTTTTATTCATGAAGTAGACCTTTCCAGTTACTTTAAATTACCTAGGTCTGTCGCCCCTGCTGGACAGTTGCAGAAAGGGTACAGTGATTTCTGTTCTGGGCTGGAGCTTTTACGGGCTTGTGATATTGGTCCTGAGTTTTAGAGAAGGCTCTCATGTCTTTTGTTGTTCAGTACTTTTAAAAACCTTCCTAGTTCAAGGTTGTTGGTGAAGGGGAAATCCAAAAGTGAGCATTTTAGTTCCAGTATACTTGAATGGTTTCAAACTTTGCCTTTAGGTTCTATAGGATTGTTTGTTTTTATGTCTTTTTCTTTAAAGTGGTGTATCAGGTGGTCAGTTTGCTTTAAATTTGGGAGGTAGTCTACATGTTTAGGGGATTCTGAGGTATCACTAAGGTTTCAGGTTTTGGACTCTGACATTCAGATTTGTGGTGGGCCTTCTGCTTATAGTGGTATCCAGTTTAGTGGTTCGGCATGGCCCCTGTGTGCCACTCGTAGGATGATTTTCTTACTACACAATTTCACCTTTGCTTGGCTTAGATTACAGCCCCTGTTATGAGGTCAGTTGATAGGTGTATGTTTTGTAATGTGTACGACAAATTAGTATTGACCATTTTGCCAATGGATTACTACAACAGTGGCATGAAGCTTAAAGGTTTTGCAAATGTTCTCATTCTCATGTCTATACCATTTTTAGGTTGAAGTGTTGGGGTTCTATGGACCTCCGCTGCTCTTATTATCAAGAAACAATAATTTTAATAAGGAATAATGAGGCCAGACTGTGGGTCATGGTTGTGGAACTTGTTTTCCACCTATCTTAAAGTCTTAAATGTACTAGTTCTGTGTGTGTGTGTGGAGGGGGGGGGGTGGAATCGCACTGTATGGTCATCTCTAATTCACTGTGGTTCCGTCCTTACAGGCTACTCCCTTACAGTCACATCAAAATGTTGTTACAGTTGTATGTGTTGGTGAGGGAACTGGAAACAAAAGGCAGCTCTTTCTCATTTTCTCATTCAAATCCTTTAAGGGTTATCATCTTGTGTGCGTGTTATATTTAGTGGATATTGTGTAACAGGATATTTGAAATGTGATGATTAGATCAACAGTTGCTTTTAATGTTTGCGTCGTGTCTCCATTCATGGAGCACAATTGAAATAAACAAAACTACCACATATATATACCTATGGTGTTGTATTTCTTTTGTTTAAAACGTATATTTCGCTATACTTTTCCATTTCAATTTTCAAGGAAAGGAAAATAAAGTCCACTTGTCGACATAAAAAAAGCCTTAAACATGTATACTGGGTACCTGCTGTATCCCACTCTCATACAGCCCAGTTTGGACCTGACAGACAGGTTCAAAGCCAAATTGGTGGGTGCTCGTGGTTTGCTCCTTCTTTCCTTTCAAAGGTCTGTTGTCCTGATCTCTCCATCCTACTACAGTGGAATCCTGTTATAACGTGAGGGAGGGGACCAAAGCAAAATGTCCGTTATTTCAGGATTCTCGCTATAAGTTAAGGGATCCAGTAATAAATTCAAGGGAAACTGTAAAGTAGACGTAATCTATGAGTTTGGTCTTCTGTTTTTCCTTTTGCTATCTCCCCTGGTGGTGATTTTGTTTCAACATGACCTCTAGGTCTTACTTGGTCAAAAATCGAATCAGGTTTGTTTCTCTAGTGCTAGATCTAGATCTAGCGATGTGGACTGACAGCTCGGCATTGGCGATCAGAAAGAAAGGGCTCTGGGCTAACTCGCCCGCTGTGTTTTCACCTCACATTCACTCCATCCGTCACATTGCTGTGACTTCTCCATTCCCGCATCGGAGAAGTGAGAGGCATGGCAGGCCTTGATAATCTAAACTGGCCTGTCACGCGATGCGTTCTGCTTGTCTGCGCATGCCACACCCTCCCTACTCAGTTGCTCCGGCCTTCATTGTTGACGCACATGGGCTCTCCTATTCTTTGTTTAGCAAGATC